AGAGTATATATATATATATATATATATATATATATGATGATCACACAACCGAATAGGCAGAGACATGTTCACAGATATTCACAGCAGCTTATTTAGTTCCGCCATGATTTGAGTTTGGCCTGCTGTATGCCTAAGCTCTGAGAAACTGTTTTTCAGTGACAAACAGTACATATAGCAGAAAGTCTGTTTCAATTCAAGAGCGCTCCATACCTATTTCACACGACATACACTACACACCCACTACAAAGACGGAATGCGATTACAGCTGCCCACAGTCTAAACTCACCTAATCGTACTACAACTGCATTATGACTCCTAGCTGTGGACACTGATCAGTCACACGGTTAGCAGGAAAAGTATATATATGTTCTGGTCGAACAATTTATCCGTCGCGTGGCACATACACTGAATGTACCGAATTAACACGCACAGGAATGAAAAGCCGTTACGAGTTCCGATTGATTAAAGCAAAAGTACTCACATCTTGTAAACAGCGTCACAGCATACGAGAGACACATAAGTAACTAAAGTTTACAGCATGAACAGGATTTATGCAAGCTTCAAAAGATTGATCAAATGTGTAGAGTAGCGGACAGAAGCAGTGGCTGTTATGTGCCATCGAGATGAGCCGAACATTTGTACATGTGTCACTTCGTACAATTGTCTTTCAAGGTCATGCTGGTTTTCACAGAACAGTACTTCGAGGAGTATATTAAACGATGTTTAGTCATCCACCCAAGGGCGTTTTAGCATAATAACGCCCGGATGACACAAGTTTCTACCGAGCCTAACGGCAATATGCAGCCAAACGAGCTCATTGGATATCGAACAACAAGAATCAGCAGTGACTTATGACACCAACCAATACGGTATGGGTGACTCGCATGACTAGTCATTGACATATGGGAGGGTGAGTAAATCGACGAAAGGATGCTCGTCATTTAGCTACCAAACCTCCCTATAACGACTCAAACTCCAATAGGACTGTGTAACTATGCTAGGTTATCTGTATTAATCTATTCTTCTCTGAATAATGCGGCCACCCTTGCTCTCGAGGTCGCGAAAATGTTGTAGCCGGTGAGATATCCATCGGAAATCCTCGTGTGTGCGCTCCCCTCCGAGTAAACCTTTATCCGACGAATAGTGTAGAACCGGGAACATTTTCATAAAGGAAACTACTCACAAGGTTGCTGGAAACTCTTCGACAGCCCACGACCAGTTTCGCCCTACTTGGGGCTCATCAGGTAGGCGCAGTTCCCGCGTTTCCGTCAACCTCTAATTGTTTGTATTGCGTACACCGAAAATAAATGATATTGAGGAACAACTAACAGTTCTTAAGGCAAGACAATCTTCTTCAGTTCATAGTGCCGATGGGCTAAATGGTCAAGTGAATACTGGCCTAGAGTTTGTCTGCGTGTGGATGGAAAGGCATAATGAGACCAGAAAATCTAAGAAGTGGAGGCAGACAGTCTACTTGAACATTGTTAGCAAGACTAATATCAGACCTAAAATATCCTGAAAAGTTGACTACTAGTGAGTCCCCACATATAAAGGAGTGTACTAAGTGTATTGTAAGACAGAATGCAGTCAAAACAGCGTATTGGTCGAAAAGGTGCTTATCCTAAGTGGGGAGGGGGCGGCTAGGAAAACAATATATCTTGATGGTTGCGGTGGAAGCATCAACACTAAATAAGTTGATCATTCAGATGGCTAATTATTGTAGTTGTCACTGCCTGGAGAGACCACATGAAAAACTTTCAATAGTATTTTGGGTGTTGGCAGCGCCCGAAGGAGAACCACTTAGCTTCTAGAAAAAACGGAATACGTGGCCGTTTATTGTACATTCCGTCCCATTAGGACTTATCAGGTGGACATTGATAGAACAGTCAAGGATAGAATGCCTCGTTCGACTGAGCTTACTTGGGTCAAATCAATTTTTTACTGAAGACTTATTAAAATCTGAGCCCGTTGTTTGGCACTTACCAGGCCCCCAGTGAGAATCAAACTTTCCGACCATTTTCCAGTGGTTCGGTATCGCCTTTTACGTCATACCCTTTCGAAACAAAATCCTCCTTAACAGATGCCAACAGGGTACAGGTTGGGAGTCTTGTTGGGTTAAAATTTAACGAAATAGTCGGGTTTGTTTTAAACTACCGCGAATAAACTTCGGAACATGGAAAAAGTCCACTTTTTACATTCAAATCCATTACATATATTGTTATGTCTCAAAAAATACTCCCCAATAACAGCGTAGATTGCAGTGCAAGCTAGCAGGGGTAAAAGAGCTCCAGCTGTAGCGCAGAAACTGCTAATAAAAGAACAACTAGTCTATATTGTTAGCCACCACGCCCATTTTCGACGTTAAGAAAAAGTGTTTTTGAGCACTCGCATCCACATTGGCGCATCCGAGCAAGTCACGTGAACATAGGTGTAAATCAAACAATAAAAGGGACAACATGATATCCGCTACTCCCAAATGAACGGAACGTGCGATGCTGCACATATTATTGTATTTTTTTAAAACTGACGCACAAAAACAAAAAACTACCTTGCCAACGGAAAGCCTTTAGAACTTGCAACTAACAACATTTAGGAAAACTCGAGAAGCACGGTATACAATCGAGGCCGATGCATTTCTGTGCCCCTCTAAGAAGTCTAGTCAAAACAGACATCAAAAACTGGCCCGAATCCCAAGTTGAGGGGTGGTCTCTCTTAAGCCCGGAAGCTCAGCAACTACATGGGGGTAGGGGCCAAAAGTGAATGATCAAATCCTTAGAAAGACTGAATGCAAGATACGGTATCACCAGAACTGTCCAGACCCCTGAAGGTTCGCGACGCTGCCCAGTAGAACTATCAACTGACCAATGACTAGAAACTACGCCTAGCGTGTTGATGCCGACCCTGTTGGCCATCATCAATACGTTTCGTTGTAAACCTCAGCAAGAAACCTAGTCGAACATGTAACATCCAGAATAATTAAGCGTTTATAGTTCGTGGAATCTCATGCCAGACAAGACCACAACCATTTCTCGATAAGGTTCCACGTTGAATAAGACTGTTTAGTGTCGTCGAACAAGTACTGGAAACGCTGCTTACTAGGAGTCATGCAACTGCGAATGAGTCTTGTTTCTTCTTTACATGTCGCTGTCCAAAACTGTTGTTTCGCTTTGTTCTAATTTAGCATTGAGTGGCTTGTAAAAACAAAGCATTATGGTCCAAAATCCTCTTCGATCAAAACATAACACCCCCTCGCTTTCAAGGGATTGCCCCCATAGATAGCACGCTCCAAAGAAAAGGCAACTGCCTGGTCATTAAGACATTTTTCATTGAGATACAGGCTGTCTCGCCAGAGAGCAGCTTGATCATCCAGGCTAAATTCCAGCTACTGTGTATATGTCAAACGCCTAGGTTTGTCTTCAGTTACTCGAAGTCATCGAGCCAAAATAATTCAAAATAACATTTGTTATTTCTTGTATATTATTTGTTTATTGTTTATTTATTGCTAATTACATAAGGCATTTAACTGGTATGGAAATGCATGTTGAAACACTGAGCAGAGTAATTGCTAGTGTACTTTCTTCACCAACAAGAGAAAGGTTCGTTGTTCAAGAGGTTTTGCTTCCTGAGGGAAGATTTTTTTAAATGGTCTGAAAGAACCCGTCTTTTCAGTGCCATTAAAAATCTTCTCAAGATCACCTAGCTCCTTTGCATGTAGACCTGATGCCCATTATGGCGGGTGCCTTAGACCAATTCTTCCGCCGAAAATGGCACCGATTTTTGTCTTCAAAAGACCACTTTGGTTTACACGACCGCTGACGCTTAATTAAAAAATTCAGGCTCGATAAGCCATTTGTTGAGCCTCACATGATCATTTCACTAGTGTAACACTTTTCAGATTGTGTAACTTCGTGTGCATGTCCATAGATACATACATAAGATTGAAACACGCTTAAACATTGAATGGGGATAATTTCGCCCCACAGGATGCGACAGGTCCAATCGCTCCAAAACGATATCCAAATTCGTCGCTACAAAGAGAATCTGTGTCCCACCCTGAGGGTGTTTCCAATCTGGTTGGCAAACCGAACTCCGAATGACAGCAGAGAGGGGATGTTATAAGGGAATTCAGGTGTTGATACACGGTTAGCAAGATAAGCTGCACAGCCGTTGTGAACACAAGAGCCATCCACAGATACATGAAGGCAACCCACTCGCGGGCGTTACACAACAAAAATGCGCCGAGCTCCACGTTTCCTCAGATGCACAACTTCATTCACTATGCAGTACAATATGGATCAGTAATGCAGCGGCTAGGACTTGCATCGCTATGACCCATTCTGGGGAACCGCTCGATTTCATGGGCGCAGCATTTCATTCTAGAAGGCAGGCGTTTTCGGGCTTTCCTCATCTCAATTCTCTCTGTGCGTGGTGGCCAGCAGCGGTGAAAATAATGCAGCAAGGTGGCTGTCCTATGACCCAATGCTAGATTACGCATTGAACGAATCTACCACATTACTGATACCCTAACGAAAATAAACCCTGAAGACCCAGGGGGGATAACGTGTAACTTAGGCCTAAAGTAGTAATTTTGTGCCCCAACTCAGAGGTTAAGCTGAAAAATCTGGGACAACCTTGTACGTGAGCTCTGGCGCGTAAGTGAGCAGGCGCACTTCGGCTTGAGAACAGTGACCTGAAACAAACTGGATCGATTTGACGAGTGAGTATTGTTTAGTGGGTGTGCCTTATACACAATTATTCCATCAACGATTTCGGAATTAATGCCGAAGAACCGACTAGATAAACTGGTCAATTAGTGACTTGGTGACTCCTTTAGAAGGGTTTCTGGTCCCGTGGGACTGTATCGGATGTCTCTTGTGCGGTTCATTGGCGCGTCCTTAATTATTGTGGAGGTGTTGAAGACAGGGTCGTGGGAATCTGAAAATAACTCCAGACACAGGACGTCCCTCATTGGAGCATTCGAGTGTGATTGGGAAAATGGTTCCATCAGTAACAGGAAGGGAAAACGGAAGTATAACAGACAAAGCTTCCGTTGTAAAACCAGGAAGGCATGGTGTGCTAACCACAGTGTGCGGCATCAACGATGCAGTATAGAGGTTATAAGTATCAACGAAGCACAGGAAGGTTTGTTGGGACCACAGCGAGAAGATACCTACGAACCATAGGACAATCAGTTTGCATCCAAATACCGTAATGTGGTTGTAAATATGTTCGGTGCTTCACTCTCAGCTCGAGGCCCGAAAAATCTGCTCCTAAGATCCCCAAATGAACAGTCGCATCGTGATCGTACCGTCGGTAAACTGAAGGGGAAAGTGAGTTCCTACGCTAAACCCCGTCAGCCACTTTAAGTGGCGTTCCTTCATGTTCTTTTTCAGCTGGGAATCTCTTCATTACATAGCTGCCACGCCTCCCAAGGGGAACACGGGTGCTTAGATACGCCAGATTACTCAAGACTAAAGAGGAGTAACTGGAAAGATGAGGTTGGTATCGAACCATGAGCACCGTGGTCAGTAGCCGGTTCCTTAGAGACTGAACTATTTGCAATACTTATATGAGTGTGATAACTTAATGACTAGGAGAAATTTGGGTTGGCAGGCGTCCGCTTAATTGCAATTTCGACCCCCAGCAGAATAACAGCCAGCAAAAAGCTTCAAAAGTTGGTTTATAAAGGCAAGAGAAATATAAGTTCACTTGTGGTACGGGAAAATATTGTGAGACTAGTGTGGAAACCAACTAACTTTCTTTCCTCGTGTAGGCGCGTCAACAGTTGTTCATGGTCCTCCTGTAGTATGCGATGTGCGGCTTCCATGTTCTCCAGCTGCTGATTTAGCCGCTCGATCTGGTGCCGCTGATTAATTACTGCTAGTTCAGCCTGCAAAGGGAAAGACATACATGGGGAAATGATGGATGAGCCCTCCACTAGTGACTATCGAAAGAGGATACGGCTTTTCCTAAACGGCACCTTTGGCGCCAACCGCCTGCTCCCATGGAGTTTCTGCTTATTCAAGCATACTGTCACTCTTGTAGCCAACTAGACACAAAATTGTTATTAATAAGAAAGAACAGGCCAAAGAATCAAGCGCAAGAGTGGGCAACTTTAGAGTGGAGCGGAGATCGACCATATTATGGATGCCAAACAGCATTCCATGTGGACGGAATCGGAAAGAATAGATAAGACGTAGTGAGGATATTGAGTCCGGTGAGCTCAAGTATATCCTTGATAAGAATCTGTTTCATTGCTATTAGCAGGTTTCGACCAATCCCAGTTTTAAAGAAAAAATACAATTCACTTACAGGTGATAGATTGCGGATAAGTAATCACAAAGGAAAATCGGAAATGATCTCTGTCTCTCTCTGACTCAAGATTTGGCGTATAGAGAGCTTGACGCTCGTCGCTTACAGTTTACCAACAAGAGGACATTAGGTCGCACGGAAACTAGCGAATGTTCACCCAACAAGTCGAAGAGATTTCATGAGAGGAGTAATGTTCTTGGATAATAATATACTGCTTAGCGTCACTTAACAGAGGGGTAAACCATGTTCTTCAAATTTTGTGAACAAAAAAGTACACCTGAAACATTTGGATCTCTAGAAGTCTGGATAACAGTGAGCATACGGAACCTGGTAGATGCAAGTGTATCGTATGCCCCGTCAGTACCAAGGTCAACTACGGGAAAAGTGTAATATAGCAAACCGACAAACACTCACACTTTTCAGAAGAGCTTGGTAAACAATCGGTAGTTTTTATTTGGGCAACGTTTCGCTTTTGACACGAAAGCTTCATCAGGCCAAGTGAACAGGTCACCAAATTGGCCAGGTTATAAGACAGACGGGGAACCAATCAGTAAGTCCTCTTCACACTAGATCAGTGTTGAGTGTCAATTAACGGCTC